AGTGGAAGGAGCGGGCTGAGGAAACTAATACCCCAACCAAGGACTGTATTTCTCTGAAACCGTCAGACTGGCTCTGGTGCGGAGAGCATCTCTGAATGAGCAGCCTCCTTTGCCACAGGAAACACCCCCATTGCTCTTTCTATGTGGCTTTTGCTAGCAAGGGGTTAGCAGGGCCAGCGTGGAAATAAATAGGTTGTCTGAGAATCATGGTATAGAATAATGGCTCCCTACCATGTAAAAAGGTAACCGCTAACGATCACAGCGGTTACACGCGTCGTGGGCTCTGCAGTGTACAGCTTAAATAAATAAGCTTAATTTAAGTAAATAAACTTTATTTAAGCTTTATACTACAGAGCCCACAGCAAAGCTTCTCTAGGAGAGGGGCTGCCAACAGGGCCAACCAGCCGTGCTCCTGGGGAGCCAGTGTGTAACCTGCAGGATGGGCCACAGCTCGACCCTCCACAAGCAGGGGCTGCTCCTGAGCTCTGCCGGATTGAAGCAGCCCCCTTCCTGGGGTGGGCAAGGGGCTGCTCCAGCCCCTTCTGGTGAATCAGAACTGCTAAGCCGCACCCATTAAGGATGAGGCTTACCGGTTAGCCGTTTACATCCTGACTACCATGTAGCCCAGAGCATAGTTTATAACAAGACTGTCAGAAATAAATATTCCCATCCCTATGGTCTAAGGTAGGGGTGGGCAAATACCAGCCTGCGGGCTAGATCCAGTCTCCAAGGTTAGCTCCTGGTGCTATATTTACCTCCACCTCCACAGGTATGGGTGATGACAGCTCCCGTTGGCCATGGATCATGCTTCCCAGCTACTGGGAGCTGCGGGAAGTGGTGTCCTGATCCATGCTGCTTCCCGCAGTTCCCATTGGTGGGAGCGGCAATCCGTGGCCAATGGAAGCTGCAATTGCCCGTACTAGCTGAGGCGCAGGTAAATATAGTGGTGGCGGCCTGCCAGGGGCTAACCCTGGCAAACTGCCGCCATTTATTGACGCTGTTTATTGGGCTAAGGAAATGTCTCCAGAATCCTGCTGGGATCAAGCGTATTTCAATAAGGGGTGGTGTAAGCACTGGAGCGTAGGTGGAGCTTGAGTGTGTGATCCTTGGGAAATCTGTGTGCGACCAGAACTAACGGTGTGTGAGGCCTCCAAATGTGTGTCTCACCTCTGGACATTTCCATAACAGATTATTTCCCTTTTTAAAATTGTGGTTCCTACTCATTTATCTAGATTCCTTGGGGGGCAAAAAAACCAGGTCATTTTATCCTCCACATCGTGCGTTTCATCAAAAGAGAATTACACCCGACACTGCTGCCAAAGATCTGCATAATGTGACTGGAAGCCTTTTGCTTCCCTACAATGGGAAAAGCTTTCCATTTGCATGCAAACTTGCCTAGCCAAAGAGGCCTTTTCTGTGCAGTATCAGGGCAATCAATCACATGCGTTACTGGCTCCCTTAGGTGCTCCAGTTGGGCACCAGCTGAAGTTAAACTCCCTGTTTGTAGTGCTGACCAGCTGTCTTAGGATTGGTAGCAGGATAAATTTGCCTGAAGGTTGTCTGTTGAAATCCAGTGCAGGTAGCATGAGTTGTTGTCACCCCTTAGAGGTGTATAAAAGACACAAAATGTCTCAGTCCAGGTTTCAACAAACCAGGGCCCCCCCCACCACTACTGAGCCTAAAGTGCATCTCGACAGAAGGAGATTCCTCTCCCCTCTGTTCTCTGGCAGTGGCACCTCCCATGGATAAGATTAATAAGTCACATGGTCATGTGGGTAGGGCTCTGGACTGAAAGCCAGGAGCCAAAGTTTGTTCCCAGCCTGGCCTCAGATTGCACAATATCTAGCACATGCTTGGTTGGGGCCATTGTCCCTGCTGTAACGTGAGATAATGGAATATCCACTACCTCAGGGCTACTTAACATACAGCCCGTGGGCCACATGCAGCCTGGTTTGGTTTTACATGGGGCTCAACATTCAGCCCGTGGGTGGGAGCCAAAACAAAAAAGTAGTCAATCTAATGGGCTTCTGTTGATATGCGTTTTAGTAGTTAAATTCCTGGACTGTCATTGCTCATTAAAAATGCCGTCATGTGGGAGGAAATGGGGTCAATATTGCATTTTATTAGTATCAGCAGAACTGACTTAAATGGGGCCTGCATGTTGTGTAGTCTTGCCTTAAACTTTGTATTCATGCCTGTCAGTGTGAAAAGCTATTTACATATGTTTGCATATAAATTTGCATGTATATGCAACCACACTTAAGTTGCGGCCCTCAGCATGTGCTGTGAGTATCATTGTGGCCCCCGGGGCTTCCAAAATTGAGTAGCCTTGCACTACCTATTCTGTGGCTAGAGGATTTCATATTAGCAATAGCATAATCCTAAGTAGGGTGGTGATGAAAGCTTTTCAGTGTCTTACAGATGAGTGGAACGGGGGAGGAAGGCAGAGGCACTCACTGATAAGGTGAGAAGTCTTAAAGGCCCTTAGCTAGTACCGTGGGCACTTTGACTCATGTTCATTAGATAGATAATAAAGTAGGTCTGGTGTGGACACCTTAGATAAGGAGTGATGTTGCAGTGTTAGATATGCTATGCACTACCATTTTGACATCACTCCAGGAAGAACAGTTGCAAAGCCGTTTGGGTGTGTTTTATTACAGGGTGGGAAAAAAAATCCCTGGCTACCATGTCGTTCCAGAAAGTACATGGTCTTTCCAAGGCACAGCCCCTGGGGATTGTCTCTCTGAGGGGATGTTTGGTCTGTGAATATTTGGGCCGACTCAGTAAAGAGTGGGTAACTTTATTACAAATCATGCTGAAATAATCAGCATTCACAAAAGAGAGAGAGCGCCTATGATGTGGTGGAGAGAGTGAGCAGAGAGAGAGAGAAAGAAAAAAGGAGAGAGACAGAGAAGAGGGCACAGTTGAGGGAATCGTCCAGGCAACAGTTCTGTGAGATTATACCCTCTTCTCCCACTCCCTTTCCCACTTCCCAACGTGGGATATTTCTCATGCCCCAGAATAGTTAACTGTCCGCTCACAGTGCTCTGTGTTATTTCCTTGGGACATGCCTCAACCCCACCCTCACACCGACTGACAATACATAGGTATAGTTCACTTTTTTCTTAGTCTAATAAAACCTCTCGAATATCTTTGGAGGCATTTGGGGCCTTGAGAACTGTGGCGTCTCTTACGATTTCTTCATCCCCAAGAAAGAACCTGGACAGTCAAAAACCAATCTAAAGGGCACTCTCCTTTGCAACACACACAGGAAAGTGATCGGTCAGGTCAAGGGGTCAGCTCCCCAACTGGAGTAGATTGGCACAGCTCATTTAGCTACCAACACTGATCTACGTCAATAGCAGATTCAGCTGAATGTGTTCCTTTAGCATGGATTCAGTTTTCAAGTGCTAGATACTACAAAACCTAATGATCAGCACTCTAATATATTAGGCAAATGATCATGCACCCGCACTCACAAGCATACCTCCATCCCAAGCAATCACTTTACAGTTTGTACAGTGCCTATGACAGTGGGAGGCGTATCCATGACTGGGGCTCCGTGGCCCTACCACTAAACAAATAATATTAATGATAAAGTGTTTCCAGGGTGGTTTGATTCCAGCCTATACAAGGCGACCCGTTTTGGACACCAGCTGAGGATCTGACTCAGGTCTGACTGCAAATCTCGGATAGTAATTAAATTGTTTATATTGCTCTAAATGCCTCTTGCTTAAATGAGACCAATATGCTGCCTGGCAGGACGGTTTCTACTGAATTTATTTGCATTTCTTTAGCAAAGTCCTTGATTTGGCTTTCAATCTCCTTTTTTATGATGGAGCCTTTTAAAAATCTCAGACCTCCAAAGAGCTTATTTATCAGGGTCTCTCTTTTTACTGTCCAAGCGAATGACTGGGTCACACAACTGAATAGAATCTTGAACATGCAATTGCAAATCTTACTGGTGAATTCTCAGAGATCATGTTGGCTGTATTTTGTTTGGCACCAAGAAGGCTGTCACAGATTACTATCCACCACCTGAGAAGCTGAGTAAAGTGCTATTGAATTTTAGACAGGTGGGACAGTTTACACTAACCAACGATCTGGCCCTCTGATGTGGCAACTGGTCTCACTGTGGGACAAACCTTGCAGTGGGGTTTTTAAATGTGCAAGAATTGAAGGACCTGATGCTGTTTAATCTTCCACACCGCTCTTGACATGTTTTCCAAAGCAGCGCAGCAGTCAGAATCCTCAGGAATCTCCCTACTTGTAGGTGACATGTCATCATATTTTACTGCCCGATCGTGTCATAATATGAGGAATAATTCCCAGACTTTAAAATACCATCAGTCAACGCTTCAAAGAAATCCAGCTTCACCAAATTTGCACCAGCATTTAACATCTACATAAGCAAAAGGGGGAAACCATACAGATAAACTCTCCTGTTTGAAACGGGTATAGAATGAAAGATTTCAGGGAGCCTACACTCAGAATTTACTTGCACTCGATTTTTAAGTATGATGTAAAATTGTGTCAAGGTTGTTCTGTGGCCGGGGGGAGGAAAGGAGAAAACCCCACGAAACAGCAAGTAGGAAAGGACCCAAATGTGAAACAGGGAAAATTCCTTCCAACTTCTCCCAAGAGAAGGAAACTCCAACGTTTGTTTGCAAACAAACAGTGCGACACAAAAATGCAATCTTCAGGCTTCATTAAAAAACCTCTTCTCTGCCAAACATCCATCCCCTGCCAAGAAAGTGCCACCTACTGGAGGTAGGACATTGGGCAGGGAAGGGCGAGAAAAGGAAAACACTGGAAACATTGCTGCTTTTTTCCCCTTCTTTACAGAAATCCCTCTCTTCAACATCTCCCGGCACTACATTCTTACCCCCCTTTCCCCTCACCAAACACACACATTTCCCCTGCTGCCTGGGCCTGTTCTATGAAGCAGGCAGATGTTACAAAAAATAATAGATTGTAGAGAACTAAGAGGTGAGACTTACCAGTGCTGAGAAGCCGCTTGCTGTTTCCTGGTCTGTTTCCTCTCCCAGATAGCTTGTGCCCGGTTAGGGAAGTCCTGCTGCCATGCTCAGTACACCAGGCACCCCTCGTCTTTTCCCTCTGCACCGTGCTGCGAATGCAGCCCCACAGTCTAACAGAGAGGGAGGGGCTAAGCCCACCTAATTTTCCAGGTGGCTCCTTTTTTCTATTGCCTCTGTCCCTGCCTTCCACTTCAGCCTCCCAAGCTTCTCTGAGAGCAGGTGACAGGCGTCTGGGCGGCAGAGGCACAGCCAGGGAGGGGAGGGCTGGGAGGCAGGGAGAGGTGGAGCTGCAGCTAGACAACAGGTTACTGTGTAACTACGAGCAGGAGGCCCTGGCTGTCAGAAGGCATCCCTGGAGCTGCCTCCAGTGCGGGGTGCCACTGCCGACACCTGGCGCAGCCGTCGGGGAGCAGAGCTCCACGCTGCCTGGGCAGAGGGCAGGGAGGGCGCGGTGGCTATTATTTGTTTTCTGTCTTCTGGGAAGAGTGGGGCAGGGCGGGGCGGAGAGACCGAGGAGGGAGAATTCCTCCCACTGAACAGCCAGGTTGGTAACAAGGCGTCTTTGTGAAGCACGAGCCGCCTCTCCGGAGTTTTCCTTTGGCTCACAGACTCTCTCTGTCTCCCTAGGTGTTTTTTCCTGCTTGGGAAAGTCAGGGCCTTCCTTCCTTGGCGTCTTCAGCGTGGAATTTGGAGGGAGGCAGAGGATGTGGGCAAATAGCCTATATCCTGGGCAACTGCTCACCGGGCCTGATGCAAACCCTAGAGCCGTGGAGGGGTAGATGTGAAGTGCAGAGAGAAAAGGGCTAATGGCTTCTGTATTACGCTGGTTTTGTGCATTGAAATCAATGGATTTCCCCAGGCGGTTTCAGTCCCTGTCGCTGCTCCAGTGTCACTGCTTTGTTACGGTTCCATACAAGATGAATGAGCACTAGTAATAGCACTTCCTCCAAAGCATATGGGAGCCCGATCCCAGTCCTTGCACACCCTTCTCAAACCTAGACACCTTCTGCTCTCACTTTGCATTTGCACTGGCATCGCTATCTTCAGTGGAGTTACTCCAGATTTACAGAGAAGGAGATCAATCCCCATTTTGTTCAGTCAGAGTTTTGGGGTGAATGAGGAATGCCAGATCAGGCCAGGGGCAAGTTCTCAGAGGCATGAGCGTCCCTCAACTCCTCCTCGAGGGACACAAAAGATCCACAGGAGCTGTTGAAGGGCTGACGGCACCAAGCAGAACACGTGGGAAGATTAGTTTAGTTTAGCAACTGTTCTACTTATAGATGACTATTTACAGGGTTCATTAAGTCTGTGGTTGGAAGGGAGAGAAATGAAACGCTTGGTTGAAGCCATGAGGGATTTTTTTTTTAAAGTCTTCACTGGGCAAGTTTTGAGGGCATCAGGATAGATGTTACTGCACCATTGAGGCATGTGTATTCTCATGCTTCAGAAGTGGCACATTCTCAGGCTCTGATCCTGGAAACACTTCACACATCCTTCTCTTTAGGCCTGGTTTACACCTAAAACTTAGGTCAAACTGGCTACATCTCTCTGGAGTGTGAACTTTTCACACTCCTGAGCCATACAAAGTTGAACTGACCTAAGCCCTCATATAGACACCCCTTGGTTGACTAAACAATTCATTAGCTGAGCTAGCTACCTCCTTGCAAGGGAGTAGATTTACTTTAGCAACAGGAAGCACTCCTGTCGCAGCAGCAAGAGTGTACGTAATGGGCCACAGCAGCACAGCTTAGAGACATAGCAGTATTGATTTCTATATAGTTGGAGCTTAAATAGTCCACTTCCCAAAGAATGAGACATATTCCCATCTCCATCTGGTGGGGGGAACTGAGGCAGAGCATAGTTGTTAGCGGCTATATAATGAGTCAGTAGCAGAGGCAGGAAGAGAACCCAGGTCTCTGTACTGCAGATAGAACTTTTCTTATTCTCCTAGCAATGGAGTCCTTTGGAAACAGAAATGTCCCTTCAAGTTTTCCAGCATTCCTCCTCCTCTTCAAAGACCAGAGGAGATCCTTAAAGGCTGGTACACGGCACTCCCTTCTCATCATAGGCAGATCAAGCTTATCCTGAAACTAAATGTTTGGTCATGGGCTATTTGCATGCATTTGGTAAAATAGAAAGAGGTGATTTGTGCTTTGGGGTCCTTGGAGAGAAGGTGCCCACCCCTCATGCAAACTCTTTGGAAAATCTGGGCACTTATTTTGGCATCTAAGGGGGGGATATGATAGAGGTCTATAAAAATCATGACAGGTATGGAGAAAGTGAATAAGGGAAAGTTATTTACTTGTTCCCATAACATAAGAACCAGGGGTCACCAAACTAAATTAATAGGTAGCGCATTTACAACAAACAAAAAGAAGTTTTTCTTCATGTAGCACACAATCAACCTGTGGAACTCCTTGCCAGAGGATGTTGTGAAGACCAGGACTTTAACTGGGTTCAAAAAAGAATAGATAAATTCATGGAGAGCAGGTCCATCAATGGCTATTAGCCAGAATGGGTAGGAATGGTGTTCTTAGTGTCTGTTTGTCAGGGGCTGGAAATGGATGATAGAAGAGGGATCACATGAGGATTACCTGTTTCTGTTCACTCCCTCTGGGGCATCTGGTATTGGCCAATGTCTGCAGACAGGATACTGGGATAGATGGACCTTTGATCTGACCCAGTATGGCCGTTCTTGTGTTCTTATGTCTGAATGGGGACTGAACTCTTTGGGAAATTGGGCCATATAGGAATAAGCTATTTTTACTTTAAAATAAGTGTCTCTGTGATTCTTCTGCCAAGTCTCATTTCAGCTATGTGGTAACATGATTTTAGGATCATGCCACCAGCCAAGGGGCTGATCAGTCCACACTGGCACCTTAACTGAACAGTGTAGACTGGGGGCCGTGTGGTGACACAAATTCCATGATACCACACACCTTTCTTGCAGGCAGGAAATAGCTGGTAACAGCCTTATCTCCTGGGGTCTGGTCTTGTCTTTCCTGCCCTGCGTGTTATGGGCAGAGGACTTGATTTTCAACTTTCTACCTTGCACGTGCACAGGACTCTCCAGAGAGAAAACGCCCCTGCTGAGCTCTCCCCAGTGGAATGTCACAGGACGAGATGCACACAGTGAGGCTGGGCTGATAGAGATCCAAGTTTTCTGAATGACAGAGTTGTAAAATTCCTGCTTTAGCAGAAGAATATCCTCTCACCGCCATTACAAAGAATGATACCTACCGTGCGTGCGTGCGTGTGTGTGTGTGTATGGCACACAATGATTCCTTTCTTTTCCCTGAATAATACTTCATGAACCCTGTATGTATTACAACACCATTAAAATGAAGCCACCTCTAGGCAAAAGGCAAATAGATAACCCCCACGTATAACAAGGAAGGGAAAGCTTAGCCAGCTCCCTGGAAAGAGCCTTTACAGTGGCATAGTGGAGGGAGGAGCACGGGGGCAGTTGCACCCGGGTGCCATGCTAGAGGGGAACCAATTTAGTGCCCCTTCACTCCCCCTGTCATCCCTCGGCTCGCCTGCTTCTCCTCCCCCTGCTGGTGGCGGCTGGAGCCTCCTTCCTGTCTCTCCGCCCCCAGCCCGACCCTCCTCCATCTCTGCTGGCGGGTTAGTGCATGCAGGGGCTCGGCCCCAAACTGGAGGGGGTGGGGGAAGACATGGTACAAGCTCCCCTTCCTTCCTCCCAGGGTTGAGCTCAGCTGTGCACCAGGTTTGGGGCCGCATGGGCAAATTTTTCCTTTGCCCCCGGGCACATAACACCCTTGCTACGCCTCTGAGCCTTTACTCTTTTTACAAAAAGCTTGATGGGATCTTTAATTTGCCAGAAAGCAAATAGGTCTCCTGGTTTAGGATTTCGCACACAAGGTCCTTTTTCAGTAACCTGTGTTACGTACCTTAGACCTACTTCAGAGGAATTTATGGCTGAGTTGACCTTCCCAAGATGCACACCTGTAGTTCCAGGGATGTTAGGGACAATGCACCTTAACCTTAACACACTTGGGTGCTGTGTTACGTCTACTCTGCGCCGCTATTTTGGGATACTGCTGGTATCCCGAAATAGCTATTCTGCATCTTGACAGTGCACCCGTTATTTCAAAACATTTTTCCAAGTAACAGGTGCACTATTCCAACATCTCTGTAAACCTCATTCCATGAGGATTAAGGGATATTTTGGAATACCAAATTATGAAATAAGGTATTTTGAAATTAATTTAAAATAAACTACGCAATTTGCGTAGCTTATTTCAAGCTAAGAGTGCAGTGTAGACACACCCTTAGATATCCCATTGTGGCTGCCTGTACTACACCTAAATTATGGAGCTGGCCACATGGTCCACTGTGAAATACTATAGCTTATGGGAAAAGGTGCATGGCTTTAGGCTATCCGTACAGAATCAGTACAGAGTGCTGCTACTCTGCTAAATAGGGAGCGTTTAGCCTAAAGGAAAGATATAGAAAACTAGATGGGCAGGAATAATTTAGACGATTAGGAAGTAGTCTAAGGGCCTGATCCAACCTCACGTGAAGTCAGTGGGAATCTTACAATGATTTCAGTGGGGTTAGGAATGGGCCCGAATGCCAGAGCAGGAAATAATCTGCATGCCTTGTATCAGCAAAGTCAAGAATGTGACTGCTTTGATTGTTCACCTCCAGTGGTACACACCAGGAAAGGATCACTAAGCACAGAAGAGAGTTTGGGGCTGGAGTGGCAGGCAGTTCACTCCTGCATGGCATGAAATGAGCTCCTGTTAAGCATAAAGGGGAAAGAAAGTAATGTGACCCTGTATCTGACAACTGTATAGCAAAGGTAGAGAAGGCGAACTGCAGTGGCTGTTCTCGTATTACAAGGAGACATTCAGTTAAATGAAAGGCACCAAATTCAAGTGGAATAAGAGAGGTTTTTCCACGCAATCAGCAGGTAACTGTGAACAGGGAGTAGAGATTTCTCTAGCTAATAAAAGACAACCCTAAAATAGTAAATATTTAAAAAACACACAAGCATTTGGGAAGGGATAGAAACCCTCCTGCTTAATGGCAGAAGCCAACCACAAACTCCTATGGCTTAGGAGGGAACAGTCCCTTGGGGCAGGTTATCCCATAACTGCTGAGTGCAAGTTTTCCTGCACCTTCCTCTTAAGCAGTGGGTACTGCCTCCTTAGAGCATGTCTGCACTGGAAAGTAAAGGTGTGTTTGTAGCATAGGCAGGCATACGCAGGCTGGATTTGTGGAGGGAGAGCTCAGTGGTTTGAGCATTAGCCTGCTAAACCCAGAGCTGTGAGTTCAATCTTTGAAGGGGCCACTTAGGGATCTGGGGCAAATCTGTCAGGGATGGTACTTGGTCCTGCTGTGAGAGCAGGGGACTGGATTTGATGACTTTTCAAGGTCCCTTCCAGTTCTATGAGATAGGTATATCTCCATATTGT